GCCCCCTTCCCCGGCCCCTGGCGTGAGCCCGGGGGGGGGGGGGGGGCCGGAGCCACTTTCCCTGACTGTGGCCCATGCTTGGGTGCCTTCCCCCACCCCAGCCAGAGGTTGGGGGGCAGGGGCAGAGCTGGGCCACATTCTGCAACCCTTGTGCAAGTCAGCAGGGCAGGGCTGGGCTGCTCCCTGTCCTGGGGTATGTCTACACTACAGCGCTAATTCGAACTAACTTAGTTCGAATTAGTTAATTTGAACTAAGCTAATTCGAATTAGTGCATCCAGACTTAAAAACTAGTTCGAATTAGCATTTTGCTAATTCGGACTAGCATGTCCACACTGAGTGGACCCTGAACAGGGCTTAAGGATGGCCGGAAGCAGTGCCGGCAGGGCATCAGAGGAGGACTTAGAGCGTGGAGATGCTGTCTCAGGCTAGCCCAGGGCTGTGCTTAAAGGGACCCGACCCCCACCCCGGACAGACAGTTCTCAGGGTTCCCCGCTTGCAAAGCAGTCCTGGCTTGGAGTGCCCTGAATGCCCACACTCGGCACATCACAGCACTCGGCCATCAGCCCGGCTGCACTTGCCGCAGGCTGCCATCCGGGGGGAGAGGCAATCGGGGGGCTGCAGGAGAGCTTCCACCCCGAGGAGCCCGCAGAGCCACCCCAGTCCTCCCCATCAGGGGCTCGTACCTCCGGGCCAGGTCCTCTCCCACCCCCACCCCCAATCAAGTGTGTCTGGTATTTTTTTTTGGACTACCCGATAACCGTAGCCCGCGGGGCCAGAGCGGGTGCCCGAGCTGTTGTGAGCATGGTCCAGTCCCAGATGGTGCTGGGGACCACAGGCAGTGGGCACGTGACCTGGGGTTGGCGGAGCTGCCTCTGCAGTGAGGTGGGTTATTTTTGAATTTTACAGCTTGGGATCGGGCCGATGGGGCCCAAAAGTATGTTAAAACCTTTTCCTGGAGGAAAGGTTATCCCATGGAAAGTTTGGTTGTGGTAGCTCTTACAGTGTCCAAGTTATTAGAAATATTCTCCTTTATATATTAGATACCTTTCTTTCATTTATCCTCTAAACCTAACCAACAATCTTTCTTTTTCAAACAAAAATGCATGAAGGTCTCTCTTTTCTCTCAGCTTATCTTAAAAATTACCCCTCTTCAACCAGCATATTAACGATCAACTTTTTTCTCGCAAAACGGCTGATGGTTAAACCTAATCAAAAATCTTCCATAACCCATCTGTCTTCTCTCCTACTTTTCCTCTCTCAAACATTTCCCCTCTTCCAACACTATAATAATTACACCCTTGTTTCTCTCAAAATGGCTGACAGCTAAACCTAATAAAGAAAATCATAATATGCCTGTGTTATCTCCTACTCTTGTTCTATACATACAGGCAGTCCCCGACTTACGTGGATCCGACTTACGTCGGCTCCCTAGATACGAACGGGGGTGAGGCAACTGCCGCACATGCGCAGCAGCATCCCCGGGGCTCGCTCACGTGGATCCTGGGATCCATCTCCTCCTCCTGCCGGCTCTGACTGGTCTCCGCCTGCAGCAGCAGCTGGCCTAGGGAATGGGGTCCCGCAGAGCTGCTGGGCGGAGGAAACGTGCCTCCCCAAGTCCGCTGCCAGCCGCGGTCTCGCAGCCTGCTCCCCGGTCGCCGGCCAGCCTCAGCCCGTCTTCCCCCTCCACCCCCCTTCTTCCCCCTCCACCGCTCTATACATGCCGGGGCTCGCTCACACGTGGAGCCTAGGTGCAGCAGCAGCAACTGGCCGTAGGGAATGGGGTCCTGCAAAGCGGAGGAAACGCGCCTCCCCAAGTCCGCTGCCAGCCGCGGTCTCGCAGCCTGCCCCCCGGTCGCTGGCCAGCCTCAGCCCCTCTTCCCCATCCACCCCCCTTCTTCCCTCTCCACCCCCCCTCTATACATCCCAGAGGCTCACTCACCTGGATCCTAGGATCCACCTCCTCCTCCTCGGGCTGGCTCCTCCGGCTCTGGCTTCTGCCTGCAGCAGTAACTGGCCACTGGGAAAGGTGTCCCGCAGAGCTGCCAGCGGAGGAAAAGTGCCTCCCCATGCCTGCTGCGGCCTCGCAGCCTGCATGCCCTCCTTCCCCCAGCAACAAGGTGCCCTCCTCCCCCAACTAACAAGCTGCCTCCCTCCCCCCAGCAACCTGGCTGCCCCCGGCAACAGGCTGCCAAATCAGCGGACAAAAGCAGCCTCTCCGCCCCCTATTATTCCCACCTTTCCCCTCCTCCCCCTATACATGCTGGGCTCCCTGGGCAAACAAAGACTCCACCAAAACAAACAAAGTGCTGGCCTCATTGTGTTAGCAAAAAAAGGACCCTCCTCCTAGAACCCTGGGTGGTGTGTGGAAATAAAGCTATTAGCTCAAAGCATGGTGCAGAGCTGTTTGGTATTTGATGAGTTACTCCTTTAGTCCTGAGTTTGTCACAGGGACAGAAATAGATGTGAAATCTTCTGAACAGGGGAACAGACAGCAAAACAAACATTAGAGGGGAGTTAACCTTTCCCTATGCTATCCAAAACTAAAAAAAAATGTTTGGCTAGAGTTTCCCCTACAATATGTACCAGTTCCGACTTACATACAAATTCAACTTAAGAACAAACCTACAGTCCCTATCTTGTACATAACCCGGGGACTGTCTGTATGGGAACAGACAGCAAAACAAACATTAGAGGGGAGTTAACCTTTCCCTATGCTATCCAAAACTAAAAAAAATGTTTGGCTAGAGTTTCCCCTACAATATGTACCAGTTCCGACTTACATACAAATTCAACTTAAGAACAAACCTACCGTCCCTATCTTGTACGTAACCCGGGGACTGCCTGTATATCAAAGCAGAAACACTACACCTTCCCCCCACCAAATATAAACAAAAATTGTATTGTGAAGAATGCTGTCAAGGCATACACTACTTTTATATTTGTAAAGTGGAACCTCTAAACAATGAAGCTCCAAGTTAGATTGCTTTTATACTTCCAGGTTGAGGTTCACTAGGATTTGGGCTCTTAACTCCATTAGTTGCCTTGGCAATTCCCTCTCAATATTCCTCTGTTGCTATATTCAATGTTCCTTTTCCCTGAAATTGTTACAGAAGAAAACAGCCGTCAGATTTTGACTGGGCCCTCCCATCTAGACGGTCTTTGAAGAGTCTGTTCACCACTGAAGGAAGAAGTATCTCCGCAAGGAAATCTACAAGAAGCTGTGAAAATGTCTCAGCCAAGAGCGGTAAATTATTGATCTTACAGAAACTTGCTGTGTTCAACCCAGACTCGATTTCTTTTCATTTGAACAAACGTTTTGTAATTTTTGGATTCGGTTCAACTCAAATTGTTATCCCCTTTCCCCAAATTTCTCAGAACTTTCAGTGAACTGGAAAACCTTTCACTGGCCCAGCTCAGCCTCGGACCTTAAGTGAGGTCTCTAAATGCAGGCATGATACAAATACAAAGAGGGAATTTCTGAGGGGCGTTTGCTAGCTGCACCCATCCCCCATATCTCTACTTCCTGGCAGCCTTTGAAGGGATCATGTTTTTAATTTTTGGACTTTTACTTTTGGCAGGATGATACAAGTGTCCGATTTTCCTCAGACCTCTCGGAGGGGGAGAAAGAAGCCACCGAGAGCAGAAAGAAGACAGTCCTGGAGTGCCTTAAGACCCTGGGCATTTCCTGTGAAGAGGTAGGCCTTGTCATGACCCACATTGGGAATGGAGGTGCTCGGAACGGTGAGAGGAAATCCCTCAAACATCGGGCCCCATGGAGGGATGTGACATTCCCAAACCGCAGGGAGGCGGCCCGTGGTCACAGACACACACAAATTGCATCTTGTGGCAAGGCTCAAACTTGGGCAAACGCCCTGACACCCTCCGTGAAAGGGGTAGCACCCTCAAGCGTGTAGTATGGGGCATTGTAGGGCCTGGGGAGATGCCAGCTTCTGTAGGCCCTTAAATGAGCTGGCAGGAGGGACTGGCCGTGTGTCCTTGCAAGGGGTGGGGGAACTCGGTATGAAAGGGCAGAGCCGGGGGTAGTCAGCCCTCAGCTATTCCCAGGGAGAGAGAGTTGGGTGGAGTGCGCTATTGACCCTTGATGGACAGATTGCTAAGATCAGTAATGGATGGGGACTGTGTAACATGCTTCCCATATGCATCACAGCGCCCTCTGCTGGTTGAACTGCACGGAGGGTAAAAGCCAACTACTGCTGCCTACCTGCTGTGGTGATTCTTTTACTGGCATGGTGGAGCTGTGGAGAACCCCCCAGGAGAGTTACCTAGCATTAAGAAGTGGTGGCCCTGGAGGGAAGGGAGCTCTACACACCTGACATACCTGAGGGACGTCTCCTGTCTTTGGGCCTTGCAGATGCAGCTTAAGAAACTTTCACTGCTTCCTCCTCACACTAGTCTTCCTAAGAGAGAGTGACCTTGATTTTTTTGGTGCTCAGGAGTCAGTATCTCTTGTTTTCTCTGACCCTGTTTGTGCATTAGCACTACAGAGGGCTGTCCCTTTGCATTCAGGGCCTCTTGGATGAAAAATGGTGATTTTGTGAAAACAGTCCATTATGGACAAAAAATATTAAAGCTTTTGAAACTTTAAATATTTCAAATTTCAACATTAACATTTTTAAATTGTGAGGGTAGACAGGCAATTGGGGGATTGTTTGAGGGTTTTTTTGGAGAACTCTCCGCCCCCCTCCTCCTTAATTTTTGATGAACAGTTTGGTTCCTCCAAGAAAGCCAAATTTATTAGGATAAAAATCATTTTGTGACCACCTGCACTTCAGACATTTTGGGGGCTCAAAGACGGATCCTTCTATATGACACATTTGTTCCCACATACAAACAGACTGGCTCCTGGGAATCATGGAGATCAAGGGTCATCAACATGGAGACAGTATAGAGCTCTAGTAAGTTTGAGTCAAATTTCAAGACTAATGGAAACCAAAGGGAGTTAGGAACCTGCATTGCACTCTAGGCCCTCACACACATCCCTTTCTCAAAAGGGTCTGCCCCCGAGCTGGGTACCAGAGAGGCCTCAGAGTTTTTCCTTCATTTGTCGTTTTCTCTTCCCCGTTCCCAGAAGACCATGCCCAATATCGCCGTGCTAGGATCGGGCGGGGGCCTGCGGGCCACGATCGCCCTTCTGGGAACCTTGACAGAGATGAAGAACCAAGGCCTGCTGGACGCCGTCATGTACCTGTGCGGGGTGTCGGGTTCCACCTGGTAGGTGCACGTCATTAAAGAGAGAATGAGCCACTTTTCCTGCTCAGAGTTAGGGGCTCACAAGGGACGTGGAAGCCAGATACTTGGCTAAAGTCGCTAGAGTAATGTAGCTTGCTTTGACCATCCCTGTGAGTGTGGGCATGGCCAGAGGAAGAGATGGGAAAATTCAATTCTCAGACACTTCTAGCCGATCAAACAGGGCTCGCTGTGTCCATCTGTATCTGCAAAGAGCACGAGGAGCCCTGTGACCCTTAGTGACTAACAGTTTGATGAAGATATAAGCTACCCAGGAAAGTCCTTGCAGTTTCCCCGTTGGCTCAAGGAGGGCTCTGGCCATGCTCCGATTGGTTGGGCTAGTGTGCTCACCACTGCCCTCTGTTGGGTCGAGTCAGAATAGCTTCTGAGGGAAGCAGATGATGGAGTTTCTCCATCGCTCAGAGCGGTGCAGCCCCTGGCATTCAGCAGAGGACTTCGTCACTCTCCTTGTTCTTGGCATGGACCTCCTGCCAGACAGCCCTGGGGGAATTCCTTGTCACATCACAGAGGGGCTATAACATGACAGGTTGATCATTCTGTATGAGAAAGAGAGGGTTCACAGATTAGAAGAGGAAGGGCGGGTCCCTATTCTACACCCCGAGTCTAAGCCGCATCTCTCTCTGGTTCATTCCTAGGTGCATGTCCACCCTCTACAACGGGAAGGACTGGGCAAAGAACATAGTGGGGCTGGAAGGAAACCTGTGTGCCTATCTTCACTCAGCTGAAATTGATATTGAAAAGGAGTTGGGTTTGGTGACAAAGGCAGCAGATGGTGAACTCTTCTCTCTGACCGATGTCTGGGAAGCGTTCGTTGTCAAAAGTATATTGAAACTGGTGGGTTTCTATGTAAATCTAGAGGGGTACCACTGAAAAGTCAGGTATTCACTTAATATAGTCCATTGTGTTCTCTCTCTGTCTCTCAGCAGTACTTGGGATTCAGGAATAAAAAAGTAAATAATAACTCCTGCTCGTATTTGAAAGCTTTCTGACCCCTCATGGTAACTTTGTAGGTCTCAGGCTCTTCCCAGGAGCTCTCAAACATCACTGTGGTGTTTCAACATTTCCAAAGTGTGACCAGTTTAAGGGATTTGGAGACCCATTGTGTGGGCGGTTGTTTGATGATCTCAGCCTCGCATTGGATCCCCAAAACCTCAGCTTGTTACAATGTAAATCAATGTAAAAAAGAGCAAGAGAAATGGAAGTCTCCGTCACAGTCTCTTCAATCGAGCAGAGAAATGGCTCAGCACAAGCCGATGGCTGAAAGTTAGAGAAGTTCAGACTTTAAATGGTCTGCTTTTGACAGTGAGAGGAATTAACTATTGCAACCTCTTCCCAAGTTTCAGGGTAGATTCTCCAGCAATTACCATTTTGAAATCATTATTGGATTTTTTTTCTAAGATATCATTTAACTCAAAACCATTCTGGGGCTTTTTATTGCCATTTTTTCCCGCAGATGAACAAATTCACCACATCAGACCTGAATTTACAATAATTTCAGAATTTCAAAAAATAATTTTTGGTTGATTTTCGTATTCCCCCCAAAATGCTTTGCCTGCTCCCAAATACCTATTGATTTAGATAGAACTCAAGTATCGGAGTGGGAAGTGTCATTCCGAGCTGGAGGACTCTCACCCACATGAGCGCTAAGCTCCTCCCTCTGCTTCTGCCACTGCAACACCGATATTTTTATCAAAACAGATGAGCAGACTTTCTGTCTCCAGCATAGACATATCCTAAGGCACTTACCTTGCTTAGCTGTTTTTGAAAAACCCTTTAGGTGCTTCTCTGCATCTTTAGTAGACAAATAATTATGAAACTCTGGGCCTAATTCCCTCAGGTGCCTTTGAGTGTCTCCACCACGGACTGTAAAGACTTGCTTGTTTGCCTGCACAGTGCAGGCTAGAAGGAGGGAACAGCCAGGAAGATGATAGTAGTCTGGGTAAAAAGGGTTTCATTCCTAACCTGAACTAATTAGTAAGGAACCGAATTTCTGGGAACACCACCAGAACTAATCAATTCTCACCTTTCCAGCAAGGTAGAAGTAAGTTATCTGAACACAAGGCTGCCGCCAGTAATGGGATTAACCCGTACCCCATCTATGCAGCAATAGAACAGAACACATTTGACAAAGATCATACAAGTCCAGGTAAAAATATGTTTTTTCATAAACTTCTCATCTCTCTCTTCCTAATTTTCAATCAGTTTTATGACCCATTTTGCCAAAATTGTTACTGGTGCTCTTCATTAAAAAAAGTATTGTAAAAAAAATGACAATTTCCCATGATTATTTCAATAGTGACTTTGAGCAATACATCAAACATGTATCTGACAGACCGCTGCCTTGCAAAAGTTTCCAATGTATTTCAAAGAGGGGGGTCTATTTGGAAAAGGAAAAGAAGTTGGGAAACTTCAGAAAATATCAAATTGTTGTTTCCTTTTTCAATAAGTTCAACCGTTAAATTTATCGCTTTTAGATTTGGCTCATTTGACTCGAAATCAAGAGCTATATGGGAAGGCTGGAATAATTGGGCTTGTTTAGTTTGGAAAAGAGAAGACTGAGAAGGGACAGGATAGCAGTTTTCAGGTATCTAAAAGGGTGTCACGAGGAGGGAGAAATCACTGAAATAGGGAGGTTGTAGAATCTCCATCACTAGAGATATTGAAGAGCAGGTTGGACAGACACCTGGCAGGGATAATGTAGATGGTGCTTAGTCCTGCCATGAGGGCAGGGGACCAGACTCGATGACCCCTTGAGGTCCCTTCCCATTCTAGCATTCTGTGATTCTACGATTATGACTCATTTGCCCCTTCTACCTTTGGTCGGAGTTAGAGATGGGTTGTTGGAGGATGGATGCAGAGGGGCTGGGATATGCAAGGACAGGCCATACCGGCTTAGAAAAGAAATGCTAGTTGGAGAGGTCACAGTGGAAAATGGCATGAAAATGGACATAGATGAAAGAACAGACGGAAAAATTGAGTGGAACAAATAGATGGGGGGATGTGAGGGGGAAGGGAGAAATTATTGCCCTGAGTCAAAAAAGGAACAAGAAATTGGCAATTGAAAGGGCACATTTTCCACACCACTGGGAAAAGGTTTACAAAAGGGCAACCAAAATGATTAGGGATTTGCAGAGAAAAGAGGAGACTAAAGGGAGACATGCTAGAAGTCTACACAGTCATGACAGCTGTAGAGAAGTTGAAGAAGGAAATGTTATTTACTTGTTCCCATCACATAAGAACTAAGGGTCACCCAGTGAAATTCAGAGGTAGCAGATTCAACACACAGACAACCTGTGGAACTCCTTGACAGAGGATGTTGTGAGGATCAGGAGTTTAACATAGTTCAAAAAGGAGCTAGATAAATTCATGGAGGTTAGGTCCATCAATGGCTATTAGTCAGGATGAGGGATGAGTAGGAATGGTGTCCCTAGCCTCTGTTTGTCAAAGGCTGATGGGGCAGGATCACCTGATGATTTCATTCTGTTCATTCCCTGGGGGCACCTGGCATTGGCCACTGTTACAAGACTGGGCAAGATGGATCTTTGGCCTGACTTTGTGTGGCCATTCTTATGTTCTTACCTTATCTGTGTTTCACAGGGGCCTGGTTTGAATTCACCCCCGATGAGTCTGGCTTTCCTGGCCTGGATGTATTCGTGAGCACCAAAGATTTGGGAAGCAAATTCCAGGGTGGGAATTTGACAGCACCACAGGAAGAGAAAGACATCGGCTACTTGCAAAGTGAGCAGTGAAGCCCCTTGATTCCCAGCTGAGTGAGATGATACCCGTCTGCCAGGGTGGGGCTAGAAGCTGCAAGGGCTCAGTAGAATATCTAGAGCAGTGGTTCCCAGACTTTTCAGCATCACACCCCCCTTTTCGATTTTTAAGAAACCCTCACACCCCACCCAAAAATAGCAGCAAAAAAAAAAAAAAAAAAAAAAGATTGCCCTGCCCTTTTAAGAACAGAGCAGGCATTGCCCTTTTAAGGGGCCATTTTGAAATCTGCTCCAGCCAGCCCGAGTTGCACGTGTTTCAATGGTTGAGCAGACAGGCCGACTGGGCTCTTTCTTGAATTTGGGAACCCATGATCTAGAGCTCCTGTTTCACAGTATGGCAGGGATGAGCTAGAGTCTCTGACCAGGAATCTGACCATTACACACCACCCCAGAGTGCAGTGAAGGTGCAAAATATCTCGTCTCACATGCACCAAGCCTGTATAGAACAGAGAAATCGACGTGAGGGCAGGGGGTGGGACACAATGACCCCTTAAGGTCCCTTCTAGGCCTTTGGCCAGCAGAAGCCCAGTGTTGGGAGGTGTGACTGCAAGAGTTCCCCTCCCATTGAGAAGGCTTGGGGAGGCGAGGGGACAATGCCAAGCGAGGGGACAATGGCCCCAACGCTGCTGTCACAGGAGCTTGCCGTTCTGGCTGCACGTTTCAACATTTCCCATTAAATAGTCTCCATTTCTGGCCAATAGGAATGTTCCAGTTCTATAATTTTGCCTTCCTCTTTCTATTCTTTAAATCAGAGGTGGGAAAACTTCTTTGGGTCAGGGCCACTGACCCATGGAAAAAAACAGGTGGATGATGGGAGGGGAAGGGGAAGTTACAAAACCCATACAACATAGGATTGTATGTTGCCCTGGATATAGGTGAGTGGTTGTTTATAGTAACCCAGGTTATATTTATTAGTGAGGGCTTTCCCAGGTCTTCCGTGTCCCTCTGTGCCCTCTTCTTCTGCATCCTCGTCCTCCTTCTGGTTTTGAGCCACACCTGTTGGGCGGGGGGGACCATAGCCTTCTGGGGAGAAAGTGAGTAAGGTACCCCTGGAGGGCCCTGGTTATGTTCCCCTCGGTGAGCAGTAGTGTCTCAGTCCATGGGGGGTGGGGGGATATGCAAAGGGTATAATGTTGGAAAACTTCCAACCTCCTCTACTTAAAATGAACGATTTCAGTAATGGATGCATGCACAAACCAAGGTGCAAAAGCACAACACCCCCATCAGAAGCTGGTCTGCCAGGCAGACCACCATCCTGACTGCTCTTGACACGTTATTCAGAAAGACTTGTTGTTCTCTTAGCTCCACCGTGGCAAATAAGTTATTTTCCTTTTTTTTCCACTCAGGTCTCTGGGGAAGTGCCTTGGGAAGCATGCAGGAAAACAAACACTATTTAATAGGTACTGAAATTTTTGTGTATTGAAGGTAGGGGTGGGCCATCTGTTGAATTGGAACAGGTCCCCCATGGAAGCGTCTCTCTATGGCAACTGCAGCTGCAGCAAGCACAGCCAGGGCAACTGGGTCAGACAGACACACAGACTGACAGACGTGCTAACCCTCTGTCATATGTAGTTGATAGCTCTTCATTTCTTCACCCCGTCTCCTGCTGGCACAATGGGGTTATAGCTGCCCCAGCCTCATCTATGGCATCTTACTCCCCCCCTGTGGTCATTCTGCAGTATAAGGGTGTGTCTAAACTACATGGCTGCGTCGACGGAGCTACGTAGATGAGGCTGATCGGCAGAGGCACATGAAGCCTCAATTTAAATAATCGTGGCTTCATTTAAATTTAAATGGCTGCTGCACTCTGCCGATCAGCTGATGGTCAGCTGTTTGTTGGCAGATCGGGGCAATCTAGACGCTCCCCCGTCGACTTCCCACGAGGCTTAAGGGGGATGTCAACAAAGGGCTTTCATTTCCCTCTGCCGATCAGCCTCATCTACATGGCTCCATCGATGGAGCCATGTAGTTTAGATACACCCTAACTGTCCTTCCTCTCAGACCCCTCCCCTTCCCTGTTATGGAAAACAATCCCATTCCAGGCACATCCCATTGTCCTGACACAACCAAACCCTGACCTAGCTTTAAGTTATGGTACGAGGATGCTGCATAGCAAATGTGGTGGTTTTAGCTCTTATTGTTAAAGAGATGTCCTTGAACAAACGGGCTCACAGATGAATGGACACAAAGGCAGATGCATATTTCTAAAATTTATAAGATTGGCTATTACCTTCTACTGCTTCACTGTTGTTGAATGAAAACAGTTTGTAAGGTCAATCTGACCTTTCTGAATTGAAATATTTCCAAAGTTCAGATATTTTGAAAAGCTGACTTTCTGAACATATTTGAGAAGAAAACAAATTGCAGAATGTCCAAAATTTCCCAGGAGGTGAGTTACACCAGGAAAAGCCAGATCAAAACCAGGTTCTTCATACTAAGATTTATATCAACCTCAAATGTTAATGGAAAAAAATGACTCCACTTTACATTTCAGAACCCAAATGTGATTTCGTAGATTATGGTTTATTATCATTAGCTGTAAGAAATGATTCCTAATGCATGCTTTGTTTTCCATTTCTGAGATCACATTATAGAGCTACTCACAGACCTCTGGAACAGTTTTGAGAAGTCTGGAAAAGGTGGGTATATTTCTGTATTTCTGGTAGGTTTTTCTTTGTCCTGTTATGACTCCATTGACGTGAAAGGAACTATTTCCAATCTGAACCACTGTGAGAGGGTGAGCCCCCCCAAGAATAGATACAGAAGGAGATTTTTGATGGTCCGTCATTTCTAGTTCCACAACATCATTAGCTCCATCGATAGAAAGATTCTCTCTTCCAGCTGCTGCTATACTGATACCAAAGAAGGTTTCTCACATTACTCCAAACCACTTCCAGAGAGAGATACCCTAAACCCCCAAATCAGATATTAGTATCCACAAGAGAAAGATGGCGTCCACGACTAGAAATAAACATTGTAACCATTTAGTCTCACCACATCCCTAGCACAGGCCAGAGAACTTCTCCAAAATAATACATCTTTTTAGACAAAAATCCTCTTGATTTAAAAATTGACATAGTTGGAGAATCCACCATGTCCCTTGGTAAGTGTTTCCACTGGCTAATTACCCTCAGTATTTAAAAAACAATTAATCCTGACTCTATCGTGTGAATTTGTTCAGCTTCTAGCTCCCAGCTACTGGAGTTCGTTACATTGTTCTAGGACTTGCATGGGGAGCAAATCCTAGATCAATCTAGAACTTCTTTCATGGCCCTCTATAAAGTTAGAAGAGATGGTCCCTAGGGCCCCTCCTGGCTGGCAAAGTTATGAATTTTTATGAAAGCTCTTCTTCAAATCCTACCTCGCCCATCCTGTCTCTCATATCCAGGGACTCCCTTGGACATGACAGTACTGCAAACAACAATGAATTGAAATGCAAGTTAATTTTTTTCTAAACATCATGTTGTCAACTTCTTTCAAATTTTGGCACATAAATGCCTTAAAGTCCTGGCCAAGTGTCCAATTCCCATTGGTGCCTTTAAAAGTCTTCACTTCAGGTAATTTTTCTGTGATATTTGAAGAAGACCAAGGGAATTAGGCACCCAAATGCCACCAACCTCTCTGGGTCCCTAACTCTCCTCATGTTTGTTGTAAATCTCAGCTTAGAGTCCAGATTTTAAAGATATTTAGGCATCAAATAGGATTTCTAAAATTGGAGATTCAGAGGTGTTATGAGGTCCAGATGGTTGAATCAGACCAACAATTTCAAAATGTTTGGGGGAAAAAATCCTTTCAGGTGAATCAAAACTTTCCTTTTTTAGATTTTTTTTAAAAGTGGCATTCTATATCAAAGAAATATTGGAGACCATACATCAGTGTTTCTTAAACTGTGTTCCACAAGGCAGTTGGAGGTGTGTCACAGAAAACAAAATAATTCAAAATAGCCACCCTTAAAGAGGCAGGCAACTTTTTTTTTGTTCAATAACTTTCCCCCAGACCTCCCCCCCCAGCCTTTTTTGTTTGTTTGTTTTTGCTCAACAAAAAATCCTTTGTGTTCTTGTTTTATGTTCCTTGGACTTAAAAAGTTTAAGAAACACTGCTATACATGACCATTCCATTCTGGTAAGGTATGTTGTGTCGTATCAAAGCATTTAATTGCAATTCTTTCTCCACCCACACCCTCCAAAAAAAGAATTGTTGACAAAATCAGCATGTTCCAAATTGCGAGCAATATTGATACATTTTGAAAGTTTTTCAAAATCTTAAGCAGAGAGCTCAAGAACATGAATGGGGAAGAGCCATGCAATGAATGAATGAATGCATTGCTGCATGCTGACAATATCCTTGTGTTTGCCAGTATTCCCATAAAATTGCCACAGCTCTATCAATACACACAGGCTCAGGTTTTCAAAAGGGATTGAGGGAATTAGAACCATAAAACCTATCGCTTATTAGTGGCCTCCCAAACTGCCTTAACCCCCTTTCAACATTGCTGTGCCCCAAAATGGATCCAAAGAGCTGTCCATTGCCTATCTGAAATCTAAGCTCATTTTCCCCTTTATTTATGCAGTGAAGGAAAACATCGGTTTTCATCTGCTGAGCTTTGAAAATAGTAAATCTGACTATTGGACAATCTTTAAAAATGCTGTTATGAAGATACTTTCAATGATCCTTCATTTGGAACTGAAAGATCCAGGTAAGTCTTATGGAAACTTTGGTCTGTAAGACAGGTGTCCGAATCTCCTAATTCCTATGAGAAATGTGGGAATCAAGAACCAGATGTACCTAAAAAAGAGAAAAAAGATCCTTGCACTAGATCCCTGTGTCATTCATCATTTCAACTGTGTCAGCTCTTTCTTCTGCTATTTCTCCTGTCATCTTAAGAGGAAAACTAAAAGGATGTAATCATCACTGTCATGTTAAAGTTTAGGAAACAGGGATTCATAGAATCATGGAATCATAAAATACTAGAACAGGAGGAGACCTCGAAAGGTCATCGAGTCCAGTCACCTGCCCTCACAGCATGACCAAGAACCATCTAGACCATCCCTGACAGGTGTCTGTTCAACCTGCTCTTAAATATCTCCAGAGATGGGGATTCCACAACCTCCCTGGGCAATTTATTCCAGTGTTTCCCCACCCTGACAGGCAGGAAGTTTTCCCTAATGTCCAACCTAAACCTCTCTTGCTGCAGTTCAAGCCCATTGCTTCTTGTCCTGTCCTCAGAGGCCAAAGAGAACAAGTTTTCTTCCTCCTCCTTGTGACACCCTTTTAGATACTTGAAAACTGCTAGCATGTCCCCTCTCGGTATTCTCCTTTCTAAACTAAAGAAGCCCAACTCTTTTAGTCTTCCCTCCTAGCCAGGGCCAGCTTTAACAAGCGCAAGGCCCAATTCCAGGGGCGGGGACCTGCATGTGCCATGCTCCCGGGACCTTGCGCATGCACCGTGCGCCCAGGAGGGCACTTCACATGTGTTGTGCACCCAGGAGAGGGGGCCCCCTTAGGTGTGGGGCCCCATTCCAGGGAATTGGCCCAAAACTGGCTCTACTCCTAGCTCATGGTCTCTAGATCTTTCATAATTTTTGTTGCTCTTCTCTGGACCTTCTCCACATTTTTCTTGACATATGGGACAAGACTAGTAATAAATAGGCAGCTTTCTCAATGGAGAGAGGTAAATAAAGTTTTCCTCCAGTGATCTGGATCAGGGCATTTCAACATCATCATAAAGGATCTAGAGAAAAGGAAAAAAGTGAAATGACAGAAGTTGCAGACGATAAAAAATTATTCATGATAGTTAAGTCAAAATCAGACTGGAAAGAATTCCAGGGGATTTCACTAACCTGTGTAATGGGGCAACAAAATAAGCGATGAAGTTTGATGGTGATTAATGCAAAGAAATGCACATTGAGAAACACAGTCCCAACTCCACAGGAAGGCTATGTCTTCACTGCAGAGCTATTTTCAGAAAAGCTCTACCGCTTCCAAGGAACAAGTCCACATTTCTGGAACATTTTAGTAAAAAGTGGATATATCCTTTTGGCAACCCTGTATCCCTCTCAGTGAGGACGGGCTAAATTCTGGAAAAGCGGGAGAGGCTATGCAAATTGTGGTTCACAGTGGGTGTATCTCCTTCTGACTTCTCTCTGCGGTCGAGTCACAGCCTGAAAGAGGCCTTGTGGTGGCTAGTCCTCTCAAAACATCCTCTCAGTGTGCGGTAGCAGACAGGAAAGAAATATGATCTCGTGGTGCCCATGAAGAAATTCTTCCTTTGGTTTGTTTCAAACCTCCTACCTATTCATGTCATTGGGTGACTCCTTGTTCTTATGTGACAGGAACAAGTAAATAACTTTTCCTTATTCACTTTCTCCACGTGTCATTATTTTACAGACCTCTATCCTATCCCAATCTCTTTTCTAAACCGAAAGGTCCCTGATAGCAGCCCTGTTCCCAGATACGTGCTGCTCCTCGGTCATGAACCTTAACGAGTATCAATGGTGCGCAGATCAGGAAGTAGAAGAAAATAAGTGCAGGCTCGGCATGGCATTTTGGAAAGGTTGCTGACCCCGTTGGATCAATGAAAGCCGAACCCTGTCCCTACCCCCACCACAACCCAACAGAGGGGCAGGAAAGGCGGGATTCCTCAGCACATTTCCACCCACATGTGTTCTGCTTGTTACTCCGATTCTTCTTCCCCCACCAGAATTCTACAAAAAAATTGAAAAATTTTGCTCGAAATTGATAACCTGTTTCTCTAACTGGACATGGGGGAGCACCAACAACTTTCTGCATAAAAATGGTAAGTAACCTTGATTGGTTCAGACCATTCAACCCCCCAGTGGTTAGCGGCAGGAAAGGGGCGGCTACACTGTTTAATGAGCACTAGGGGGCATTAGAGGGTGGGTGGGGAAGGGGCGGCTATACTGTATAATGAGCACTAGGGGGCATCAGAGGGTGGGGTGGGAAGGGGCGGCTATACTGTATAATGAGCACTAGGGGGCATCAGAGGGTGGGGTGGGAAGGGGCGGCTATACTGTATAATGAGCACTAGGGGGCATCAGAGGGTGGGGTGGGAAGGGGCGGCTATACTGTATAATGAGCACTAGGGGGCATCAGAGGGTGGGGTGGGAAGGGGCGGCTATACTGTATAATGAGCACTAGGGGGCATCAGAGGGTGGGGTGGGAAGGGGCGGCTATACTGTATAATGAGCACTAGGGGGCATCAGAGGGTGGGGTGGGAAGGGGCGGCTATACTGTATAATGAGCACTAGGGGGCATCAGAGGGTGGGGTGGGAAGGGGCGGCTATACTGTATAATGAGCACTAGGGGGCATCAGAGGGTGGGGTGGGAAGGGGCGGCTATACTGTATAATGAGCACTAGGGGGCATCAGAGGGTGGGGTGGGAAGGGGCGGCTATACTGTATAATGAGCACTAGGGGGCATCAGAGGGTGGGGTGGGAAGGGGCGGCTATACTGTATAATGAGCACTAGGGGGCATCAGAGGGTGGGGTGGGAAGGGGCGGCTATACTGTATAATGAGCACTAGGGGGCATCAGAGGGTGGGGTGGGAAGGGGCGGCTATACTGTATAATGAGCACTAGGGGGCATCAGAGGGTGGGGTGGGAAGGGGCGGCTATACTGTATAATGAGCACTAGGGGGCATCAGAGGGTGGGGTGGGAAGGGGCGGCTATACTGTATAATGAGCACTAGGGGGCATCAGAGGGTGGGGTGGGAAGGGGCGGCTATACTGTATAATGAGCACTAGGGGGCATCAGAGGGTGGGGTGGGAAGGGGCGGCTATACTGTATAATGAGCACTAGGGGGCATCAGAGGGTGGGGTGGGAAGGGGCGGCTATACTGTATAATGAGCACTAGGGGGCATCAGAGGGTGGGGTGGGAAGGGGCGGCTATACTGTATAATGAGCACTAGGGGGCATCAGAGGGTGGGGTGGGAAGGGGCGGCTATACTGTATAATGAGCACTAGGGGGCATCAGAGGGTGGGGTGGGAAGGGGCGGCTATACTGTATAATGAGCACTAGGGGGCATCAGAGGGTGGGGTGGGAAGGGGCGGCTATACTGTATAATGAGCACTAGGGGGCATCAGAGGGTGGGGTGGGAAGGGGCGGCTATACTGTATAATGAGCACTAGGGGGCATCAGAGGGTGGGGTGGGAAGGGGCGGCTATACTGTATAATGAGCACTAGGGGGCATCAGAGGGTGGGGTGGGAAGGGGCGGCTATACTGTATAATGAGCACTAGGGGGCATCAGAGGGTGGGGTGGGAAGGGGCGGCTATACTGTATAATGGGCACTAGGGGGCAGCAGAGGGTGGGTAGGGAAGGGGCGGCTCTACTGTATAATGGGCACTAGGGGGAGCAGGGAGTGGGGGAGGGCTGTGTTCGGCGTTGCCTGATTGATTTAGAAATACAGATTGTCAATGAGATGTTGACTTCCAAGGGCCTAAACACCTTCAGAAAAATATTGTGATTCCAGCTCCTAAATCTCTTAGGCACTAAGCACAGAGGTGCCTAAATCCCTCTAACAACGAGGGCCCTGGGCACTTTTGTGATCCCAACTTGGGCCTCTCTCTGTGTCCTTGGGCCCTGCCACCTCCCTGCAGTTCTCACTCCTTGTGGTACTTTCAGGAGCATCCGAACTGGTTCAGCCTCAGACTCCCACTCGTTTCACTTGGAATTAGACGCCTGTCAGTGACCAGGATGGGAAAGGTAGGGGCAGGAGTCATGCCTAGTGGTTACAGCAGGTATCCTTAGCAGAGGGTTTGAGCTGGAATCAAAAGCCAGGAGCCAGTGATGGGGGTAGAAAGCAGAGTCGGAGGCCAGGAAGGAGGGCTGGTTACCTGCAGCAGGGCAGGGTGACAGCCAGGCTGTGGGTAGGGCAGGCGTAGGAGCTCTTGTGGTCACAGGTGAAAGATCTGGGCAGCCGGTGCCCTGCTGCTGGTCCTATGAGCAGATTCCTGCAGCTCACTGGGCCTTTGGCCTAGTCAGACGGCCGGAGACTCGGCCAGCATGGAGGCAGGTAGCTGCTGGTCCTTACTCCTGACTGTGCCTGAGAACATCCCAGTAGGAGCTGATCCTCCCCCTTCAAGCAAGGCACCACAGGCCTAAACCAAAACATGGCGCCTTTTCCACAGGGAAAATCCAAACCGATGGCTTGGACGAGCGCGAAGTCCTCAATTTGATTGACGCTGGCGTGGCTAACAACTGCGCCTACCCGCTGGTCCTGCGCCCCGCCAGGCGCGTGGGGCTGATCCTCTCCTTCGACTTCAGCGATGGGGACCCCTTCGAGGTAACTTCTGCGATTGACATGATGCCGCCCCACGCCTGACCTGGGATCGAGGAGGGCCTGAGGACATGGCACGTCAGCCATGAGTGAAGTGTATTCTTCACTCATTAGCCTGGCCATATTAGAGGGGTCATATTGTATTAGTGGAAAGGGTCGTTAGTTAGTTAGTTAGTTAATTAGTTATTATAAAATCACTTTTCCTTCCTCCCCAGACACTCAAGAAGGCGTCCCAGTATTGTGTGGAAAATCAGATCCTATTCCCCCCGATAGATGTGATTAAGGACCAAGACAACCCCTCCGATTGCTACGTCTTTGAAGGACAGGGCACTCCCACCGTCATGCACTTCCCACTCTTCAACACGAAAAACTGTCCAGGTAAAGGGGTTGTACTTAGGTGGCTCATTGCTGGGTGAGCCACAGACATGAAAGACCCCCCAAGCCAACAAGGGCCTTGAGCCAGACTCCCTCATCACTCTGTGCACACCCCTTCCTGGGCCTCCCAGAGGCAACCCTCTCCAGCAGTGAATCTCTCCCCATGCATTGAAACCGGAGCGCTCTGAAATGTATTGCCTACTAGAAGATTCCCCCAGTGCTGCTCAGGTCCTTCAGGGCAGGGGGTTGGGAGACCAGGAGGGGTGAAGGCAGAGGGTGGGAGTACAGGAGTCAGGGCACAGGTGGGGGGCTCAGGGAGGGGTGGGAGATTTGGGACGGCTCAGGGTGGGCAGAGCACTGGCTTCAGGACAAGGGGGGGTCTCAGGTCAGGAGACGGGGAGCTCATGGGGGGCTCAGCTGGGTTGCTTGTGTCAGTGAGGGCGGCACTGCTCTGATGGTGGCTCCTCGCAGGGGCCAGGACTGTGCTACCCTGGCAGGTCTTTGCTGGAAGGGGCCACCAGCTCCTGGCCTGGCTTCTCCCTACCTCACATTGACTCCTTGGGGGGCAGGGTGGGAGCTGGGCTGGCTGCCCTCTCCACTCAGTAGCTCCTGGAGAACAGGGCTGCTGCCTGAAAGGGCTGTTGGCCCATGCGTGTCACCCCTTCCAGCCCTGTGGCCAAAGGGGGGAGGGATTTAGGGGCAGGAGAGCACTTACCAAGCTGGTGTCCTGCAGAACGGAGAACTCCAGCCCCAGCCGGCCACTCACTGCCTGGGGTGGCCACCGCCCATCCCCGTGGTCACTGTGTAGTGTAACTCTCCTCAGGGGTCACCACAGAGCAAAGTGTCTCTGCTCCCGGACCCCTCCCTTTCTGTGCTCGGGAAAACACTCCCATTCCAGGCACTTCCATTTCCCCGGCTCAAACCAACCCTGCCCTGGTGTATCTCAAATGTGGTGGTTCTCGCTCTTACTAGGAAGGGTTCTTGAACATACGGACTCCCAGACAGCTGGACAGACTCGCAGACAGACACACAAACTCTCTAAAATGTATAAAGAGAAATGATTCATTATCTGTGTGTGGGGAGGGGGGGAGGGAACTAGAACAAACTTTTTTAACTCTATGGTTAGTTTTGCTTTGGCATGTTTTCCAAGGGATGCCAGGGAATCCTGAACAGAAGATTTAGGAACTGGTTGGACAAGCCCCTATCAGGGTTGGTCTATGTTCACGTGGTCCTGCCTCAGCAAAGGGTGCTGGAGGAGATGTCCCCTCCAATCGCCTTTTCAGCCCAACTTTTCTGTGATTGTATGGGAACACGAGGAGTTGGCCATGTAGTCCCCCCTCCTCTTTAGGCGTCTGATTCTTTGCTTTAGGGTGCCGGAAAAGTGTGTGAGAAAAACCATTGTTTTCCTCCCTTCTGCACTTTCTCACCTATTTTAGAACCACAAGAAATTGAAAAGTCCAGAGAGAAGTTTGGCACCTTTAACATGTACTACGCAAAGAATGATGTTGATGAACTCCTCAGCAAAGCAGGGATGAATGTGTCCAACAACAAGGAGAAGATTCTGGAACAGATCCAGAAGATTGTGCCCGCTACCCCCAAGAGATTTTAAAACCACCTCTCTTTTTCATTCATGAAAGACAGAAAAATCTTTGCCTGACTCACACATAACACTGTACACTGGGGTGGCCAATACATTGGTGGCAGTTCACTGGGGTTAGCCCCGGTGGACCGCCGTCATTATATTTAACTGCACCTCCACAGGTACGGGCAACCGCAGCTCCCATTGGCTGGGAACAGTGATCTGTGACCAATAGGATTTGTGCCCCCCCATACCTGCGGAGGTGCGGGTAAATACACCAGTGTGGGGCCCGCCAAGGCTAACCCCGGTAGATCCGATCCGGCCGTAGGCTGGTGTTTGCCCACCCCTGCTGTACACTGTGCGCATTCAGAACCAAATGGCAGCAGGGAAAAGTGGGTTAGATTCACAAAGGGATTTAGGCACCGAACTGCCCTGTAGGGGCCCAAACCCCAGATTTCGGCACCTCAAGACCCTTGCTCAGCTGCCGCGAAACACGGAACTCCCTCGGCACCTAAAATCTTCCCTCAGCACCTAAAATCTTTCTAGGTACCTAGATTTCTGTCTCAGGGCCTGTGCCCCATCCCGCCGGCCCAGTGCCCAAGTCCCAGGGACTCTGAAAACCAGAACTGAGGTGTCGCCTGATACAAGGTGGGTTTCAGCCACAGCTGAGTGTGGGGCAGGTGAATCCCAGTGGGGCCCGGTGGCTGGGCTTCCCCTGCGGAATAGGGCAGCTGGGAGCCAAGGCCTTTTGTGAATTTCACCCTGCAATTAGTAACACGTCCCGAGGGAGAGAGGGAGGGAGAGATGGGGGTTTGGGGATAGAGAGATAGAAGGGAGGGAGGGAGGGAATATAAGGAGGTAGGTAGTACTTGATGATTATTACATGGATACATATACAATAGGTAATAGTGATAAGGCTAGATAGATAAATTCATATATAATAGGTTATGATAATAGATTAATATACAATATCTTATATTAGATTCATATATAATAGGTTATGATAGCTAGATAGATAGATGGGAGGAAGGAAGGGCAGGAGGGAGGGAGGGAATACAAGGAGGTAAATAGTATTGGATGATTATTAGATGGATAAATATACAATAGTTAATAGCGATAAAGCTAGATAGATAAATTCATATATAATAGGTCTACCCCCAAGAGATTTTAAAACCACCTCTCTTTTTCATTCATGAAAGACAGAAAAATCTTTGCCTGACTCACACATAACACTGTACACTGGGGTGGCCAATACATTGGTGGCAGTTCACTGGGGTTAGCCCCGGTGGACCGCCGTCATTATATTTAACTGCACCTCCACAGGTACGGGCAACCGCAGCTCCCATTGGCTGGGAACAGTGATCTGTGACCAATAGGATTTGTGCCCCCCCATACCTGCGGAGGTGCGGGTAAATACACCAGTGTGGGGCCCGCCAAGGCTAACCCCGGTAGATCCGATCCGGCCGTAGGCTGGTGTTTGCCCACCCCTGCTGTACACTGTGCGCATTCAGAACCAAATGGCAGCAGGGAAAAGTGGGTTAGATTCACAAAGGGATTTAGGCACCGAACTGCCCTGTAGGGGCCCAAACCCCAGATTTCGGCACCTCAAGACCCTTGCTCAGCTGCCGCGAAACACGGAACTCCCTCGGCACCTAAAATCTTCCCTCAGCACCTAAAATCTTTCTAGGTACCTAGATTTCTGTCTCAGGGCCTGTGCCCCATCCCGCCGGCCCAGTGCCCAAGTCCCAGGGACTCTGAAAACCAGAACTGAGGTGTCGCCTGATACAAGGTGGGTTTCAGCCACAGCTGAGTGTGGGGCAGGTGAATCCCAGTGGGGCCCGGTGGCTGGGCTTCCCCTGCGGAATAGGGCAGCTGGGAGCCAAGGCCTTTTGTGAATTTCACCCTGCAATTAGTAACACGTCCCGAGGGAGAGAGGGAGGGAGAGATGGGGGTTTGGGGATAGAGAGATAGAAGGGAGGGAGGGAGGGAATATAAGGAGGTAGGTAGTACTTGATGATTATTACATGGATACATATACAATAGGTAATAGTGATAAGGCTAGATAGATAAATTCATATATAATATCTTATGCTATATTCATATATAATAGATAGATAGATGGGTGTGTGTGGGGATAGATAGATTGCTAGATAGATAGATAGAGGGGGTGTGTGAGGATAGATAGATAGATAGATAGAGGGGGTGTGTGGGGATAGATAGAGGGGGGTGTGGGGATAGATAGATAGATAGATAGATAGATAGATAGATAGATAGAGTAGAGGAAGGAAGGAAGGCTAGAGGGCAGGATGGAGTGAGGGAATTCAAGGAGGTAGATAGTACTTAATGATTAATAGATGGATACATATACAATAGGTAATAGTGATAAGGCTAGATAGATAAATTCATATATAATAGGTTATGATAATAGATTAATATACAATATCTTATATTAGATTCATATATAATAGGTTATGATAGCTAGATAGATAGATGGGAGGAAGGAAGGGCAGGAGGGAGGGAGGGAATACAAGGAGGTAAATAGTATTGGATGATTATTAGATGGATAAATATACAATAGTTAATAGCGATAAAGCTAGATAGATAAATTCATATATAATAGGTTATGATAATAGATTAATATACAATATCTTATGCTAGATTCATATGTAATAGGTTGACAGATTAACGGACAGACGGGTAGATGGCTGGAGAGAGGTGTGGGGGTGTCTAGTATGTGATGCTCACTAGACAGATAACTAGATTCATGGTAGTTCCTGGTGACATAGCGAGATATGTTCATATCCAATAGGTTACAAACCAGAGAGAGAGAGTTGGTAAGACGCTCATACAGACATGTTGGTTCGTCGCAGTTCACACGGCATCACTCTAGGTTGACTCCATCATGTGATATCACGGGGCCCATTGTGCTAGGAGTGGTTTTGTCTTGTGCACACAAATGTCCCCGCACTCCAAAACAGTGTCCCGCTCTTTCACACTTGCCATTGGGCCGACAGGGGCGCTGCACGGCTTGTGGCCTGGCCATTGCCTGGCGAGTACCCGCCTCTGCGGGATCTCGCCGGGGTGGCTCCTGGTTTTCGGAAGGAAAGGAGATGAGAAAAGAGACTCCTGGCGAGTGGAAAGGCCTTGAACAGTCTCGTTCCCACCCTGGGGAGATGTGGGGTAACCGCACTGCCGCTGATGTTGTTACTTCACGTTCCCAGAGAGGTTGGAATCCGCATGGTTCCTTAGAATCAGGAGCTTTTTATTGCCTGTTCATTCCCAAGTCGTGGGTGGGGTGTTTGTGCTCTGTGTGACAATACGACTTTCCTACCCTCTTTCCTTCTGTGTGATGAATATTACAGAAATAAACGCGAATGCACCATCATTTTTCAGACTGAGTGCCTCATTTCTAGAAGCAGCCCCGCTTTGCTCTACCCCCCACCTCTCCTCCCCCGGTGGTGTCCCAGAAAGGTCACGTCCACCTTAGGAAACTATTTCAAAATAATTAAATTCAACTGAGGAAGTGGGTCTGGCCCACGAAAGCTCATCATCTAATAAACCATCTTGTTAGTCTTTAAAGTGCTACATTGTCCTGCATTTAAATTCAACTTAATCACTCCCGATTTAACAAAATCGAATGAGCATGTTCCCACCACGGGGAAGCCTTGAAATGAGTCTGAAGCACGTTCCATTAATGGGGACGCGCTGCCTCAGACATAGAGCCCCCGGGAAGCCCTGGGGAGGAATTAGTTCGAATGACTCTGGGAAGGGGCTATTTTGAAATAGCCACACCCAAGCCTCCACACCACCAAATAACTATTTTGTAATTAACGTTCTTCTCCAAGGAATGCAGGAATCCAGATTTTAAAATAAGCAGCCCATTATTTCAAAAGTGAGGGCTCGGTAGTGGTGGCGCTCCACTTATTAATTCAACCTGAGAAAGGGTTATTTTGAAATAAGTGAGACCCAAAAGGACCCAATTCAGCTTCACACCCTCTTGCTCACACTGCTTTGGAAAGGGGGACTCAGGGATGGGTCGGGAATGGTGTCTGCCTCCATGTGGTCTGGAAGCTCAGTCCCCCCCATATTCTGGGGCCTCAGCAGCCCCTGGGGACCGTGGCTGGGGAAGCCATTGGGCAGGTGGGGAGGGAGGTGGCTGGTGGCCTGCTCCATGGACTCCGCCACATGCTCCATCACCGCGGTGAGGAACAAGAACATGTTCTCCTGTTGGTGCCCCAGCTCTTCCTGTGCGGCCTTTCTTCTCCTCCTAGTCAGCCCACCCGCCGCTCCTCTCTCTCAGCAACCTGATCCAGACTTGAGTCCCTGGATGGGGACTGCTGGTGGCAGATCCCGCTCAGGCCAGTAGACGTGGCGAGAGGTAGGGAATTCACCCAGCTTGCAGCTGGCCCAGCTGTGAAGAAAAGTGACAATGGCCATCACCCCTGGAGACACTGCGCATGACGCCGTGTTCTGATCTCCCAGCCGACACCGAAGGTCTTGGTTCAGACGATGGCGATGTGCTTTGAGGAAGGCCTTATGTTGCCTACACAGAGCAGAGACAAGCCAGGGGAGCATCGCAACACCCTCGGTCCCCAGGTATGGGAAGGTGCCGGCCAGGCCAGGAGCTCACAAGCAGGAGTGAGGGACGGGGCAGCTCAGCTCCCTACTGTGTTCTGCCGGGTCTGACAGTGGAGGGGTCTCGCAGACCAGGCGTGTGCAACAGGTGAACAGCAAAGGCTGCTTACCAGGGAGAGTGGTAATGGGTTCCCCTCCTCTTCCTCCTCTCAGCAGGTTCCCAGGCACAATATCAGTCTTCTCCACATTGCCACGCCTAATGGGGAACGAAAGCTGACCAAATGCGGCGCTGCTTCTGTGTGCCTCTTGACCCCAGCCACATTCCTGGTGGCTTGCAGTAGGAGGGTGTCCTCCCACAGAGGCTGGAGGCCGGCAGGTCTCTCCAGGGACCTTGGGAAAAGGAGTGAGGGGTTCCTGTGTGAGAGCGTCATGGAGCGGAGAGCTCCAGACTAGAGCTCCATCTATTGTTGCATGAACAAGCTGTTGGACAACCTCCATGCCAAGTAGACTGAGAAAGGAGCACGCAGCCCCTCGCAGCCCCTTGCCTGACCCCACTTGTAGAGAAAGTTAGAGAACTCACCTGAAAGGTCTTCCCCAGGGTGGTCGGAAGCCTAGGAGACGTCCTGGGATGGAGGAGACCAGAGCCAAGGTGAGGATCAGCTCCTGGCTCTTGGGCATCATTCACTTCCTGCTCTGCAACCCCACCCTCCTTCAAGCTGAGACCAGGCATGTCTTGAACAGGCTCAATGACCACGGTGGAAGAGGTGACTGGCCCCCCTCCCATGATGGTATTGTAATAGAGGCAGGTGTGAGGTGGCACCCCAGAGCATCTGCTCTGCTCCCTGGCCTTCTGGTAGGTCTGGGTCAGCTCTTTGATTTTGAGCCTGCACTGTTCGAGGTTCCTGCTGTGGCCTTTCTCTGCCAGGTCTGGGGCGATCCTCTCATAGCTGCCGGCATTATGGGGCTGAGATCTTGGAGGCTGGACTCAACCCGCCACCACTTGATGAAGTCCAGGATCTCTGTAGCAGTCCAGCCTGGAGCTCCTGTAGAAGCAGAAGTGTTGGATGCTATTGAAGTATCTCAGGTGATGTTGGGGCTGCTCATGTCACGGTAAGCTGATCACTCGCAGAGGGCTTGCTAAGCTGGCCACATGGGATAGGCCCTTCTCCTGTTCCTGGG